GATGTGACTTATTTATGTATAATACTAGTGACAAAAAGTTCCTAGCAGTATGTTAAAGAATTTAATGTTATTAATTGAAAAATAATAGTATGTCTTAATTTTTAATGACGAAGTGGAAGATGGGGGCACACGGGTCCAAGGAGAAGTTGTACAGAGCGAACTCTGAAAAATATCCATCGAAACTTCCCGTTCCCAACGATAAAAAGTATAAAGTAGCGGTCAACAGGGAAAGATTTGGATCGTTTGGTGCTAGAGGTAAGTTATAGTGTGTTGATCTTTAATCAATTTTAACAAAAATTTTATATTATTTCTCATATTCGGCGAGTGTTGTCTTAGGGTGGTTACACACACCAACTTTTAGCAGCGATACAAACGCGCGTTCCAAATGCGCGTTTGCATCGCGACACAAACGATTTACAGGCAGTTGCATCGATGCAATCGCACGTTTGCATCGCGATCGTATCACTGTAGCTGTGACTGCATCGTGTCTGCATCGCGTTTGCACCGCGATCGCATCGCATTTGTACCGCGATTACATCGCGTTTGCATCGCGATTGCATCGCGTTTGTATCGCTGTTTAAGTCACGCGTGTGTCTAAAAGTAGACGATTAGCGACTGTATCGCGATTAAATCGCTGCTGAGCGCGTCTGCTAAAAATCGGCACTTTAAATGAAATTCGATCGATTTCATTGATCGTTGTCGCACCAAGATACCTATTAGCGTCAAATCCTCAACATTTACGTACCTTTTTTATTTTACCATAATGTTTTAGAGCAGTAGGGTAGAACGACAGGGCGCTACTTGCGCGAGAGCGACATAAATCGCGAAATATTGCTATTCTCCCATAGACATTCTCCTGCAGCTAACCTATCTAATTATCTATCCTTTAATAAGAAATCATAAAATGTTAACCTGTATTCTAAAGCCGAATTGAATATTACCTAACTTTATTTTTATTTCTGTCATACTGACGTCATACTGTCATACTGACGTCATCAAAACAAGTATATTTAATACTTTTTATACGTAAAAACATTTTTTCCTTGAAAGTAAGGTGGACGACCTGCCTTAGAAAAAAATGTTTTTTCTACACCGTTCTTTCTAAGCTTTATCGTGAGTTATATGATTAGTGTTTTGTCGTAGAACATTCAGGTGAAACCTTTATACGACCTATGACCTTGGATGTAATTTATGAGTCTTATACACACTAAAGGCATTAAAGTTCAATGACCTGCAAGTAAGGTAGTAAATCTTTCAATTAAAGCATGGCGTGATTAAGTTAAATGACCTCCAAAGTTGGTAACTGTTTTGTTTCCAAATGAAAGGGAAAGTAATAGTATGCTGAAGCCCTGTTGAAACTAATTTATTTTGTTATAGTTAAACAAATTTTGTCTGCACGATTCTATATTAACACATACATTTTTTATATAAAAAAAACCGACTTTAAAAGTTTATGGAATTACATCTATTTGCCAAGTTTTATTGAAATCGGTTAACGGAAAGTGGGTGAAATCCAATAAACCGGATTCATACCCTAATTCGTCAGCCTCAGAGGGGGAATATTTTCTTCAAATTTGAATGGGACCACTGATTACCCCATTACCAGCACAAAAAAGAATCATTACCGATTCAATGATTCAATGATTGACACTAATGTCGAAGTAATCGCGTAACACTAAAAATACAGTCGAATTGAGAACCTACTCCTTTTTTTAAAGTCAGTTAAAAAACCATCAGAACGCTGATTGGAGGATACATTGTAATATGCAAATTTTACCAGCGGATTGCAGACCTCAAGTTATCATATACGAGTAGTTAGGTTAAGTTATAACTGTCATAGGGACCGTTAAAGCATCAAGTGCATCCATTCCGAAAATGAGTATCAAATAAATAAAAAGGATAGGGCAAAAATCTTGCTAACAAGGAATCTCCTATGCAACCTTCATGTAGACAATAACGAAACTATTTTGACGTCATAGGTTAGGAAAAAATCTAAAGTAGTGTAAATTACGCTACAAAACATCGCATGAGTTCTTTCGTATGGCGCAACATTCGACCGCAATTACGCGCGCGAAATGTAGTTGTAATTTCCGTTGGAATTGTCCTTAGCCATTGGTACTAAATACTTCACTCTACCTCTGATGAAGCGGATTGTCGAAGGTAGCGTATTCAATGAACAACAATCGTGAATAGCTTATTGTAAACTGGAAATAATGTTGTTTCTAGTCTATGTAAATTACGTAAATATTATATCGAAAATCTTAGTTTTGTAAATCGTTGTTACACACACATTGACTCTATAGATCTGATTGATTAAATACAATGCGGAGATTTCCTTGCGCGATAAAAATTCCGTGCGAACCACACATGCGCTACGGAACTGGAAGCCTTACAAGCTTCAATCTCTCAGTCCACGTTCTATGACTGTATAAAACAACATACACTTTTCTTCCATTGTTCTAGTTTATATTTACCAAAGTAAGTTTATTAGTTTTTACACTTAGTAAACAAAACATAAGTACGTCATCCAATTTCTTTTTGTTTCTTTGTGAAAAAAGTTTTTATAAACTAACAAAAGATTTTGCTGTTTTTCATAACAAATAAAAACCAATGTCATCGTCATGATTTTTTTCATTGTTGAACTATGAAAACATTTCTATTCCCACCTGAAGCAGCCTGTAGGAACTTTGTTGAAATTATTTGTTTTGTAAAAGGTGGCGTCCACGTTATGTACAGTGCCTAAACCTAGACTCAAGGACTTTACATAATGTCATTTAAATATGAAACTGAATAGAGTTGAGTAAAAAAGTCTACGAAACAAACACTTGTGCGTCTTGTCTGTTCGCGATTCTTGAGTAGCGAAGTGAATTCTCACGCGTAAATTTAAATTGGCGTTGGCCATATGTATATGTATACAAGTGACCGTTAGCTACGAGTAGTTTTGTTGTAAAACCCACACATTTTCCCATAAATCATAGAAGGTATTGGGAAATATATTACTCATTTCTCAAAACGACCTTTATAAACATTTTTAGTAGTTCACAGAACACCTACAGAACTTCTTAAATTTTAGGTGATTAAAATATAAGAAGTTCTGTACGTGTATTCAAAAATACATGTTGAAAACAAAACTCCTTTTTGATAAGTAATTGGTTTCTTAGCATCTGAATGTTCTTTTACTTTATGACGTTCTAATATTTATCAATATACAGCTAGTAACTTAAAGTCTGTTTTTCAGCTATATATTATTTTCATGTATTAAGTATCATGAATAAGCTTTCAAGCGCCGCCGCACTCCTAGCATTTAATGCAAATTGTGGCCATCATTGCTGTAGATAAAGAGTTTAGATACCCAGTTAGCTCTTGTAAATCCAAAGTCTACAAAAAAAAAATTGTCAGTTTGACATTGATTAGAAATCGTCAAGGTAGGCGGTGATAGAATCTCACGCTGTTCTGCTAAAAACTTGACTTTTTGCTTATCTCCGTGCCGTAATTGCGCAGGCGCCGTGACTTCCCACGATGTCGTCTGCCAGATATAACAGATAGGTTATTAGATAAATGTGAATAAGATAATTTGCCTGTTGTAAAATCTTATAAATAAAAAAGGAAAGGGTTTTGGGAATATGTAAAATCTCTGCCTACCCCGTTTGCCGATTAAAAAGTGATCTAATATTTGAAAAACTTTTGCGGGCGTGGGCACATCAAACTCACAAAAGTTTTATTGCAGTCGAATGAATAATAATGGAAAAAAACATTGATTTTTATGTACACAATTTATTTACACGTCGTACGCTTCACCTGATGGAAAAAAAATGTATAGACATTTGCCATTCATCCGTTTATAGTAAAATAAAATATTAGACATGACAGTACAGGGTACCCAATTCGCTACATAAATTATATTTTTGTAGCAGTAGAACTCCTTGTGAAAGAGTTCGCCAGGGGAAGAACTACCACCACACCTATTCGCGTTCGGGTTTGGAAGGGTAAGGGTGCTGGTGAAATTACAGGCACATGAGACTTGTTAACTTAACTTATGTCTCAGGGTGACGGGCGCAATGGCAGTGCCCCTCAGATCTTTCTGTTTTAAAGCTCTGAATGGCGCTGCAACAATTATGGACAGGCGTGTCGTTTACCATCAGGCGCACGACTTGTTCGTCCCGACACTTGATATCATAAAAACAAATGAAACTCAAAACTGCTACGGGCTTTACAGTGCCATTTTCAAGTGTTTTCTGTGTAGTAGCCACCTACTGCTTTTCCATAGAGTAGTATCAACAATATACTGACAAAATTCATTTATTTACATACCTTGAAGATTTTATATTGAATCAATGCAAGCACTATGGCAAGAAAAGTACTGACAGTTTTGTGTGCTGTACTATTTAAGTACTATCCATGACAGGGTTGTCTCTTTCTTGCTCCGGTGTTTGCGCTGGGCCCGATACCCTTTAATCCAGTACGGGTAGGATATCTATTCTATTATTCAATCAATTGAATTTAAAGCCTACGTGTAATAAATAAATTTATTTATTATGATCAACGTTTGTTGGTTTGCTTTATTAAAAATAGATTTATATAATTTTCTTGCTCTGTGTTTTTTGTTCAATTATAAATTCAGTATTAACTACGTTTATCAAAAACGAAATAGGTATAATTACTATGTTATATAACGATACCTGTATAAACAACTTTCGTCGTCCAACTTTTGGGGATCTCAGCTACAATGTTTCGTTCGATTTTATGTTTTTTATTGTTATTAGACTGGCATATCCAAAATCTGTGTAGCCCTCATTGACCTACCAATAGTAGCCCTTCATTACTGTGACTACCTGATCCATCGAATTTCCGTTCTAACAACAATCTAATAATCACCTTAGGTAATCTCCAAATGAAGTCATTTGCTAAGAAAAAAAATTAACAAAGAATTAAAAACAAAATAAGACATTGATATTTAATTTGTAATTTTTGTCTCTAAAGTCCGTTTTCTTTGATTTCAGGGAATGCGAAGAAGCGGGACAGCGTCCCGCCGCCGACCGCCAATTCCCGGCCCCCCGCCACCCCTCCACAAACCCCTCCTTCGATAAAAGGTGAGTCATACACTGACGTCATAATTGTACATAGGGATGTTCGCGCCCTTCTGGACTTGGATGGTCCATAATGTGAATTTCAGTTACAGTTTGGTTGGTTGGTTTGTTCACGATGTATCTACAAAAGTTTACACATTTTATCATTTGAGGAATATTAAAATACAAATTTTTGAAGTTATGACTATGACACATACTTTTTCGACAAAAATGATTTTGTTCAAAAATTTGAAATTCGGTTCAACTAATATATTACATGCATTTTTTATTTGCGTAAGAGAACTACAAGGATAGATCGTACGTACCCTATAAAAAGTACCTAACGTTTGGCCACATATATATAAAAATAATTATTTTCGGATATTTTAAAAACGCTAACAGGCGCATATTTTTTTAGGAAGGAAATCCTTTATACGCGTTCTATAATAAACTTTTATTCTCTTATTTAACTATGTTTAAGTAACTGTTTTCCCACGATAAATAAGCACTAGCCAAAAAAAAATCGTTAGAGATGAACGGTAATGCTGTAACAAGCCGGCGGCGTCGCGGAAGGAAATGAAAAAATGCAATCGCCGCCATACAGCTATTTATGGCTGAATCAACGAAGCGAATAAATTCTCAGCTTTTGATTTTAATTCTGTGATTTCTGACTAAACAACAAAAAAGAGGTATGAAAATTTTTACCTTTTTTTACTGTCCACCATTTTGTTTGTCCTTTTTAAAAACCGTCTAGTTAAAGTAGTACAGTTTAGAAAAAGCTTTTTGTCTAAAATAATCTGTGAAATCCAGTTTTATTTGGCATACTGATTTCCTTTACTTTAAGTATATTCAACAGTCAAACAGGTAGTAGTTACTTTCATGAAATTGTTATTCAAATTTCTTTTTCAGTCCCAAAACACGAATGAGTATTTACAACGCATTCGCCCGATAATGAACGAGAAAAAGAAACGCTTTTATCGTCTCATGCGCAGTTTCACAACACGTTACATAACCTGTTAGGTATAAACAATGGCAGCAAAGGTTGTCCTTTGCGAAGTATGTCAAACGTAACTGGTTCGATTAGGCGAGACGAGCCATTCACGAACTTACTAGTCAGCTCATTACGTTTAGAATTACGACTTATTACACCCGCTTGGGTGATCTACATTCAGTCGATTACTTGCTGTTATTTATTAGAGTTATTTACAATAATAATTATAAGTTTTATTCAAGGATTACACAACTTTCGTGGGATTTTTATCGATAAATCTTTGTACCAGTTTATGATGTTAAAGTCGCATAATTATTGGCGTGACTTGACGGCTTTCAAAGTATTAGACTTTGGTAATGAACTGTGGTAAAGTTTGTTAACTTTTGTGGATGTGAGTAATGAGTAGATCAAACACTTTATTTACCTACAGCTGTTGTTTATTTTATTGATGCTATGCATTAACTATAAATGAAACGAGATTTTAACGAAATATTTTCTTTTTCAGCTAAGAAGAATGGCGTCGTGCAGAAACTCGCATCATCCCCTGCGTCGGTGCGTGTTCGCAACACCGCTGTCGCTCCGCCTCCTTCGCCGCGTAAGCCCACCCCTCTCCGAGTACCTGCTCAGAGGCCTAACACTCTGCCTACTAACAATAAAGGTAAGAATCAATCTATGATAGTGTTTTTCTAGGAATTTATTAAAACGACAGTCAAGATATCGTCTGTTTAAAGGTAATACCACTTAAGTAACATTTTCCATAAAAAGTCTTTAATTTATATAGATTTGGTAAGAAAATCACTGCTGAAAACTCAATCACAAAAAAGCTATACAAGCTTAATAAGAGTTTTATCTGCAGAAAGATGGTGAATTTCTTACAACTGGTACACAATTTGGAGATTTTTTGGTGAAAATGTTGCTTATGTGGTTTAACCTTTAACAGACGATATATTATAAATTATTTAACGTTCTTCTATTGTACAAAACTCATTTAACCTAAACGTAGGAGTTAAAGATTAACGATGACTTTCACTGCCATCTATAGTACTCGAAATAAAACTTTTTAGGCATAAAATGTAGATGGCGCTGCAGGTGCTACATTACAACTGTAAAGAGATACTTAACATCGATAGGGAACTGCGTAGTTCACTTTGTGTGCGGTAGAGGCCGCTAGACGTAACAGTTTTTGTTTTGTAGTTGATTCACGTTTTTAATTATACCCCATTTGTTTAGTCAGTGAGTTTATACGAACAAAATTTTAATTAAGAATAGTTTATGCTTCCGCAAGGAAACATGAAACTGACACTAAAGTAATAAAAATTGCAAAATTACAATATAGGTAATCTAAACTTTCCAAGAACGAGCATGTTAAAATACGCAGCTGTAATTGATAAAGCTGTAGGTTATGTGACAACTGTGGTTGCGTCAAATAATACTTTAAAAAAAATAAGAATAAAATGTTAATTAACAAGTAGGCAATTGCAACTTGAACATTTGCGAAAGTCCCACATTTAGTCGCTTTAAACAATTGTTTCAAAATGAATACAAAGTCTTATGTAAACTGTTTCACATCGTTATCTCACAAGCACTTTTAATTCAAAGAATTTTAAGTTTCTCTTAAACATATATATGTAAGTACATTGCTTATTAAAAAGCTATACAGTCTTAATGTAACAACTGAATAAGATGAAGTCATATATATGACTTTCTTTTATACGCCTTTTGAATGCAAATTATCCATCTAAATTATCCATAAAGTAAGTTGCTGGTATATTGTCTTATTGTGTGCTAATACTTAAAGAAATAGATAAGAAAAATGTATTAACACTATAGCACAGTAAATAAAGAAGCACTGACTTCAAAAGTTTGTGGAATTACATCTATTTGACAAGTTTTATTGAAATCGGTTAACGGAAAGTGGATGAAATCTAATAAAACGTATTCATTTCCTAATTTTCCACTCTTAGAGGTGGAATATTTTCTTCATAATTGAATCCGACCACTACTTTTATCAAAAATCATCATAATCGGTTCACAAATGTTGAAGTAATCGAGTAACATACACACAAGAAATGCAGTCGAATTGAGCACCTCCTCTTTTTTTAAAGTCGGTTAAAACCATTACATGTTTACTATATTATAATAAGTAATCACATTATCAAGTAGTAAAGAAGTTGTCTGTTTGACGTACATACATCACGATTATCAGGCACCCAAATCAAAATCATGTAACTGTAAGGTATTTCACGCGTTGCAGGGCAAATAAAACGTCTGTGCACAGAGTTTGCACACATTACGCCACATGTGGTGTAAGTATGTAACAAAATACGTGGCAATGCGTGCGTACGCGCCGACTGGCCCTGATAGCATCCCTTTGTGACGTTAAAATATACAAATACAAATGTAAATACAACGGGACTTTATTCAGCAAATTAACATACGAGTTGACGTACATACAAGCTTAATTTTCCCGTGAGAAATACTTAGATCGCAGGTTTGAAATCTTGTAGTAAAATTATATAAATATAGGTCTCGTTACAACAAGCATACTTATTAAAAAGGCCTTTTTAAGATTAGAACACATTTCTCGGATTACTTTGTAAATGCATTACTGGCTATGGGGCATAAGATCTTTTATCTCCCGTGTCTGCGATTGCCCTTGTTCTCCTTAAACTCCAGATTCGGAATACAGCAGTATTTACAGATAATACTCTACCACCTCTAAAGTTTAAGAATAATCAACATCAAACTACAATGATAAAAGTTAATCGGTAATCGCCCAATTTACATTAAAATGTAATAACTACATATAATTACGTGCTTCAGGCCCAGGCAAGCTGGCACTCAATTATGTATAATAAACGCAATCCGAATTTTTCATTTTATTTTATTTTATTGTGGGATGACCAACAATTGTATAAAGTGAGTTATTCATAGTAAAAAAATAACCGTATGGCTAATTGTACAATCAACCACATCGTCCACAGATGAATATACTTAGAATAAATATGTAGCGCTAAATTTGAATGTGATATTTTCATTATAATGTGCACTGGGCATTAAAGTGATCATAGGAAAAATATTGTCTAGATTTGAATCAATTTACATACTGTTATACATTTTGATATTAGGAGGTTAACTAGTGCATTTTGTGTTATATTGAGTAGTAGTTAAATTTTGTAATCTATGTATATACCTATCGAGTTCTTAAGTTTTCGCGATTGTTACACATAGGAAATGAACTATTTACCGGATTGAAATCGTGTATATTTGTTTTTTCAAACAAACCAACGTTTCGGGCCCTTTACTGGTCTCATGGTCACGGTTAAGGAACCTGTAGAGGACCCGAAACGTTGGTTTGTTAAAACAAGTATACACGATTTAAATCCGGAAAAACAGTTTCATTTCTTATAGATATATATATATATATATATATATATATATATATATATATATATATATCTATATCTATTTATATGATTAATTAGATATGTAGAACAAATTTCAGAGACAATGTAATTACAAGTAATTCTCAAGAAAAAAATTCGTGGGACTGATCTCACGTGAACTTTTGCGATTTAGAATTGTGATTAGCTAGTGACTCGGTGTTCATTTCTTAATATTTACAGTTAATTTTAGTCCGTTAACTATATAAACCGGTTACTGTTTGTAACACCGTAAGTGTTACATCAATCTTGCAATTTTAAAAATGCTCAAAATGTATTTTTTAAAGTATCTCCCTGAACTCTACACATAGTTAGTAGGGAAAATAACAACAGGTGACTGAGGACAGGGGTGAAGGTGAGCGGTTTCTGTCGACATTTGAATGAAAGTTCTCCAAGTAGAAGTGATACGCAAACAAGCGTGCGGTGCGGAGACACTGTTGCACTCGCGGCCGACCGGCGACCACGACAAAAAATAGGCGCTGGCGCACCGGGCATTTCCGCGCGTGCCAGTTACCTGTATTAGTTGGCTTATAAAAATAATATGCTAATCCGTTAGTTGCTTTAAATAATACAGGACTTATAATATCAGGAAATCAGTGATTCGTTAGTTAATTTTGTTTGATAGTGTGGCTTAGCTAGCTTGGTGTAAATAAATTATTGCCGCATATGGTTTAATTGTAAAAATTTCGGTACGTGTAGTTAAATTTTATTCAAATTGTGTTTTATTAATATGATGAGCCCGCTTCATAAAATAGTATCGTTCTTTCAATTAGACTCTCTGAGTAATCGTAAAAAATTATTACCTCATAAATTGTTTTCGAGTGAAGTCAACATTTCCAGTGATATAGAGGAACTGAAAAGGAATCAGTGGGGTACACTGAACGGATACCATCGAACTAAAGGTAAAATTTACTAAAAATAAAGTTACCACTTTGGTATTCAAATGAAAGTAAAGGAAGATGGGTAATGTTCAGGCTAGTTAATTCTTTACCTAATTTCGGTGGCAATTTTTATTATTGTAGTAAATTTTCAAAGGTTAAATTTTAGGTACATAATATTTCAAGATACTACGCTCGAATATTAGGTAATTAATACTTTATTGTACTGAAAATTGTAATTATATTGTATGTAATGGAAACCTAGACCTACAAAGATTTAGGAAATTAGCTTCATTGCCATATTTTACGAGACAGCGAGAAGTAATAATTTAATTTTGTTGTTCGTTGCATTTTAGGGAATAATATATTGCGTATATTCAGTTATTCACTTGTTAAGTGCAATGTTAATGGGGCGCGAGTGAAGTTAAAGCCATTCAGCTCTTCGCGAAGATCGTAAACTTCCTCCGATGAGTTTAGCTTGAAGCCCATTCACGGGATTTGTTTTCATTTTAGCTCTGAATTGTAATGGCAACATAATTGACAGCAAATGCATCAAAGTGTCTGAGTTGTTGATTTTGAACGGATGCGATTGCCATATAAACGACGGGCGATCGACAACGATGTGTGTGGTATTAGCACGTCCAATCATTGTCCGACTGAACCATTTTTTTTGCTTTTTGAGCCCTTTTTGTTTCATGTCAATTAGAAAGTAAAAAATACTCAGTTCCGTGATTCATACCCACTTTCATTATAGTATGTTACTTCCATTAAAACCTTATTTTAATTGGCCGGACATTGTGGTAATTATAAGTAATTGTAATGTTGCGCGTACCTTTATTTTTTTTTGGATTTGCAAGAAAGCAATATTTTATCTGAAACGACGTCTTTTTTAGCTCGAGTCTACTTTGATAACGTTTAAAAAGTTTACATTAATATTATACATTTTGTAAAATAACTTTATTCAAATATTGACTGAAATAAATAAATTGTTATGGGATGTCATATTAAGTAATAGTTGTAGGACTCATGAACATGACAAACCTGTAGAGTACCAGTATAGTAAATACGCGTGTGCAAAGATTTCGTTCGGGGCGAGCTGTCAACAGCCAACCCTGGTGTGAGGTAGTAAATGTTGGGCATGACAAAAGAAGCTTAAAGTAACGATTTTCGCCCTATTTTGCTTTCGCAATAGAAATATGAGAAACAGTGTAATTGTAAAAGAAGCTATAGTGCCTAACACGATAAAGGACTTCTGTGTTTGGTCGTATGGTAATGATGGATAGTAAAATAACGACACAAATTTACAGAGCGAATGTGAAAGACCCCGGTGTACATGT